GACCACGTGTCATTCCCTAGAGTATCATTTCTTTGCTTAAGGTTTGCGCCCGGTTGCACATGAGAAGATACATGAATATGGATACGATTCAAACAAAGAATATTATTCTCAAGGRAATGACACGTGGTCTGAAATGGGAAAACATTACGCCGAGCCGAGGAGGTCTACTTTCTCCCAGTTTGTGAGATAGATATAGCATCTGCCATGCTTCAGTTCATACAAATTCTTAAGTACTGGCAAAACTGTAGCAAATAAATAGATGCAAATCTATGCAATATGCATAATAATAATAATAATAATAACGTTATTTGTCAATTTATTTAGTTTTTACATCCAATTGGGGACGCAGTCATTTTTTATCTTATTCAATTTTCCATTTACCTAGAAACAAGTCATTAAACTTAAGCCGCTCATTTAATCTATACGTATTTCCATTTTTATTGTTTTATGTTTTGTCTGTTGTACTTCTTAAGATACGTATGAGTGGGAAACGATACAGCAAACTGTCATTCGTATTGCAGCTGTTTCATATTTTAATGTGGCAATGTGATAGGACGATTTCGGGAACACAGCTTGAAGTCCGCCATTTTGCCTGTAGCCTTCCGTGTACGTGCGCTAAGTCAATACCATGCTTTTCCCACTCGCACGAAAAGTGCTCTCTACCGAGTAATTATAAAGTTAAATTAAGCAAACCGCTTATAAAAATATAATATGATCATAATTTCTGTTGGGGCAACTGTGCGATACATAAGTTTATTCATAGCCAATGACCCAAAACGGTCAATACTACAATACTACTACACATCATAATAATGGTGTATCCAGTTTTCTATATGTTTCTTTTGAGACAACTTTATTCCTCTCTTTTCTGGGTTTATTTTGAGATAACAATCCTATTTTTTTAACAAGTCGCCCCGTTAGGATTAGTGCTGAGATAGCTGTATRTACAAGGAAAGGACTTGTGTCTATGTCTTCGTGACATGTCGCCCGAGTGTCTAACAAGCTTAAACAGTCGAGTCACAATTGATTAAAACACTGTGAGGCAGTCAAAGAAATCATCGCTATCATGTCTCGTAGTGAGGTCCATTCAACCTCAAATTTTAAATAGGACGCATTCTCAGTTTTAACCGTAATAAACCGAAGTTAACTCTTTGTCAGAGATTTGTCCGACGTTTGTCGATTTGTGATTCGTAATCTTTGCTCATAAATTTCTCAGTTGTTTGGCGCACATTTTTGATGAGCACTGCACGTGATGTACATACTTTTCAAGAAAGCATATGAGAGGGCAATCGAGAAACATGACTGCCATGTTGGTTGATATGAAAAGTAACCAAGACCAAACCAACATGGTGGCTGTGACGTCACACGCACCGCATGACGTAGTTTTGAAGCCARAAAAAGGTCTACTAATTGGATGACGCAGTTATCTGTTATCCCTAAAAGTACTAAGACAGGTTATTTCTGAAAAACCTATTTTGGCTTATCCTCACAACCACTTCGTTTATCACTTATCAATAAAACCACTTTTACTCTTATCTTTAATCTATAAACTTCAAATGGGCCGTTTGCATGATGGCCTCTTTTTACTTCCACTATCAAGATGCTTCGCGAAATTTCTTTCTTATTCAAAGTTGTATTTCCTCATGAGAAAAGTAAGACAATTGGTGCTAATTAATTGAACAAAATAAAGTTTGCAAGGGAGTCTGGAAGTTGTGATAAATGACGCTATAATGCAAGAGACCTTTCTCGAATCGGCTTRGATGGGCTGGACTTGATTCTTTTATTCATCAATACCAACCTCGACGTCCTTAAAGGACCTGTTCGACGTGTGCAATGACATGCGCATTAACATTAGTGGCGGCGTCAATAACCGCGTTCTTAACGACCTATCTTATGTCTTTCATGTTTCCCCCAAAAATTCCGGAAAACGCCAGAAGCGCCAAAATTTCTTTTATGACGACAAAYACTGAAATTCATACCCATGTTATCTTTTCTCGGCCTTTACACATTTGCGTGATACTTTTAAGGAAAGTGCAGTCCTTCAGGGAATAGCCGAGTCGTCTGCAATGAAACAACAAAACATCCTGTCATTAGTATAGTCTCCTTGGCTTTTTCTTTTGCTATTTTAGCCCATGTTGAATACTCCTTATCTCTCTTTTCCTATTTTAGCCCATCTAATACTCCCCATCTAATATCTATTTTTACCAGCGTGATTTTATTGTGTGAATAAACATTGCTGTTGGAGCTTTTGCCACACAACATAGTGCATTGTGGTCTAGCTTTAGTACAAACATCTTTTTTTTCATMATGCCTTATATGGTGTTGTTTAGTACCCAAGCTATACCACGATGCATCTTGTTTTATGAACTCAGAAAAGGACGATTTAAGAAATTATGTTTACCTCGTACTAAGGAATATAAAACAAATACAATTATGGGGATTTTATATTGGCTTGCATTTAAAAAGTAGCAACACCAATCAGTGAATTGAATTAAGAAGATGKAGCCTGCTATATGTATTATGCGTGCGCAGGAGAGTAAAAGTGTTAATTTCTTTCTCGGTATACGGTTAAATTTTGCAGGCTTTTTTTTGAATTTCGACCTTCCATGTATTATTCACGCATTTTATTTCCAAGGATCCAAGGACAAAAAATCAAACAAACAAAAACAAAAACAAAACAAAAACCAAACAAACAAACAAAAAAAAGAAACCAAAAAAAACAAAAAAACAACAAAAACAAAAACAAAAAAAACAAAAAAAAACAAACAACAACAACAACAAATAAATAAATACAACAAAAACAATGCAAGTAAAAGTGAAAACCAACGTTCTATACCACATGAGCAGTCGTTGTATATAAATTTCTCGAAACTAAAAGCCATGCAATGGAACGTGTAAACGACCGACGCACTTGAAAGGAAATCACAACTGAAATGTCTACGATTTCTAGAGGCAAAAAGTGTGGAAGTTCTTATGCGATAACGAAGTAGCATACGATAAAATATAGAAAAAATGATTCTCATTGACAAATACGTTATTGTACAGATTTCATGGCACGCAAGTACATMAGGGTTAAAACATTGCTCTTTTATCGTTTTCATCAATTCCTCAAATACGCGCACGCGAAAGAAAATTTGAACGAATAAWTTTTTTTTTTTTGTTTAATTATTTTATTGATTTCTTTATCAATTTAGAAAAACATATTACGCTTAATAGGAATACACAACACAAGAAAAAGGAAAGAAAAGACGAGCATGTGACATGRGGCGGTAACAAGACAGAGTCAGTCCAAATTGACAACCATCCCCTTTGACAGAGTATAAGATCTGCAAGTGTTCTTTCCTTGGACACAAAAGCGCCTTCAAAAAAAGGAAAAGTTTTCAGTAAACGTAGGTCAAGCGAGTGAAAATCTCATGCGCGGTAGGTAACTTTGGAATGTGCAGACTATAAGACTCATTGTATTGAAAATTTGGAGGATAGCATGAGAATCCGCACATGCAGTTGCACACAGTCACCATTATGATACAATCTCGACAAAAGGATATGAGGGTATACAATATAAATCTAGAGATGTTTTTGTTTCGTTTTAATATAAAAAGATCACGTAAATTTAATGATACTGGCGAAAAGGTTAGAGGGTAGAAAGCYATCKTGATAATTTCTGMCAACTGAAAGACTTGAGTCGTCAGTGAACTTTGTTTCGACGYCAAATCTTAGCCAGAGACTGAAGTTGAAAATGATTTATCTTTGTCCGWGGTCATCAAAATCTAAATAAAATATGACTTCATTTGCTAATATAAGTAATAATAATGATTTATGATTTTCTAGAGAAACCATYCCGCGTCATTTGGGGAAATTACCCTCGGGTAATGCGCAAYTACAGATGCGCMAGTAGTTGGTAATGAGGTTGGTTAAYACAGGCTAAAAATGGAGCAATTAAGGAAGGGTTATCTAAACCAAGGGTTCATAACTAAACAACCTGGAGTTAACATTAAAAAARTGATAAAATCTACTTAGTRTRTAACGATCAAGTTCGTCGCGCACAGCTCTTGAGCAAAGGTGCCATGRATGAAACGGGATTCCTAGAGAATGATTCGCAACATCSTTCACATGTAACTCTTGTATYCTATAGTACCCCTCTCGCAGGAGARGGAGCTGGAGGGCTGAARAAGTTGCATGTCGAAGTCATAGGATTCAAAGTTGCCAAGATTCTGTTGTATGTGTTTATYCTTGTCACAAGCACCTTGGGGAACTTTCTCGTCATCTCAGTCATTTGCCGTTCTGCGAGAATGCGAACAAATGCCAGTAACATCCTWATACTCAACCTTGCACTTTGTGATTTGCTAACTCCATTAATTAGCATTCCATTTGACTTGGTCGTTCAGGAAGGTTCCTATACTTGGCCCTTTGGTCGAGCCATGTGTAAGCTTCTTGCACCATTGRCAACATTCACGTCCACATCGTCTTCCTTGACGCTTGGTTGCATCGCCTTCGACCGCTACCGCGCATTATTACATCCCTTCAAGACGAAACTCTCAATTCGTCAAATCAAATACATGATTGTTGCATTGCATGGATTCTCTTTGATAGTTGTTGCACCATATACGGTGTTTCTAGATACTGAAGAAGGCAACAGCTGCAGCGAGTTATGGCCTGATTTTGMCTATCGTAAGGCATACACCATCGTTCTTTTCATGACTCAATATGCTCTTCCTTTGCTCTTCATGCTTAGTATCTACGTCCTCACAGCCACACAAATGTTCAAATCGAGCGCCAAGCTACAAAGCATACTAGTGCCAGATAATGAGAKACACAAGATGACTCTAAATCTAAGAGAAAGCTTCACTATAAGGAGAGAATCTAATAAGAAGCTGTCAAAAATGTTTGCTACTGTTGTCGCCGTGTTTGCCATCTGCACCTTCCCGAACGAGGTTTTTTGGCTTTGGTCTGACTTTGCTGGCGGACACAACAGTGAAAATGYATTTTATGCAGCGATAATTTGTCACTGGTTTATTTATGCCAACAGTTGTTTAAACCCATTGATATTCTATTTGTACAACAAGGATTTCAATCATGGTTTCCGAAGCGTACTAAGGTATATATTCTGCAAGAAAGAAAAAGACATCGAACGACTTCATCGAGTTTGGAAAGACATTAAACATGACCGCGACACTTTGATTAACAAGATMTGCAAAGCTGAAAATAAGTCAACTATAGATGAAATAGTACCACAGCTCCCAATAACCGCTTGTGGGAGAGAAAAAGAAGAGTTCAGTGCATGATTATCGTATCAAAACCAGATTAAACAAAAACAAAAAAACTCCCAGAACACAATTATCTTTACCGTTAAAAACCTTTTACGTACAGTGGAGATTWTTGTGTTTAAAGATTATGATATCAACTGTTTTCCCTGTGCTGAAAACGAACAAACTGGGCGCAAGACTTCAAATGGTTTAATATTCGTTAGAAATTGTTATATCTTATTATCATTATTTTTTTGCCTCTTTGCTTACAGCCTCATTTCTCATTTACTATTTTTTCGTGGACTTCTACCAGCTCACTAGATACACTGTGCTGACGAGGCCCAATACCGGCCGAAACAGCTGTCCACGGTTTCTAGTTGAGCTGGCTCATTTTTACGCGACTTGAAATTGTGAAAGGCCCATTGGCCCTCTTCTTCAGTCGTTTCATACAAGGCTCGTAATTTASCTATTACGCATGTTCTTTTATGGGTTTGGTAGGATTGGGTGGTTAGCAAGGATTAAGCCMCTGGGGAAGAACGGATGAATACTTGTATCATCCTAGATATTGTATCACAAATTCCTAAGCTAACTAGGGTCAAGTGCATATAGACTGTATCAACCACTCATCTGTACTCATCTGTAGTGGAACTTTAGGTTAATTCTTGGGGTGCATGTTACGTCATAGCCGCCAACCCTTTGGGTAGCCTGTGCAAGATAAGGCTAAGGAAGCCTGAGTACTAGCTTTATCCGCTGCTTTAAAATATCACGGGCTCAGTATTCAAAATGGCGGACGAAACTGCATGATTTTTGATTTTCTTCCTAAAAGTGTTTAGAAGACTCGATCGCTAGGATGCCTAAGGGAAAGTTCCCATTTCGGCGAACGTTTGAGTTCCTGTCTGCAGGGAGAGTGATTTTAAAGAAAGACATTCGTTCAGTTATGCTGTCGTACACGCATAAAGACGAGAGCAAAGGACTAAGGTATATACTTGCACCAAATTCGTGTATTAAGACTATTAAATATTATAATTATCTTTACATGAGACTATCAACTTTGCTCTGATATATATATTCGAACCCTTCCGTATTGAAAATGAGTCTTTCTTACGGTGTCCACGCGTATGATATTTATCAAGACTTGACGTTTCGGCATCAAGTACTGTATCATCTTAAAAATGAATYTCCTTTTATACGATTTATGAGCCTGTATATCATTTATGCTTACGTAAAAATCCATTTCTCCTTAGGAACTTCATCTATAAAGATTTACCGCAAATTCAGTTCAAGAACAACGCARTTCAATTTATAACGTGGCGAAATAGAACTGAAAT